AATTCAACTCTCAGTTACTAGAGAGCAATGCTAAAGGCAGATAGTTAGTTGTGGTGACTGAAAAGTGTTCACACATCTGAGTGCTTGTCACTTATACTTCTTATTGACTGTAGGCCTTAACCTGTGATATGTTATTTGTGAACTTCAAGTACCTACTGTATTATTTGTTCTTATTTGCACTATGAACATTAAACATAATAATTTGCAAAGAAAAAATTAATATTATCTATTGCTATCCTAAAGCTGGTGAGTAGATGTTTTTGTTTTTTGTTGTTCATTTGACCAACACAAACCTGGATAGAATCTTATTTGTCTTTTTTTGGTGCTAATGCTACAGGTGCTATATAAGGAATACCAGTTTCTTCTTATGGTCCTATATTATAACTTTTTCTGGATATAATATCATAACTGAAGCTTATGTTTTTTGGCTGTTCTCTGTGACCTTTGTGTTGTGGGTACATTATTGCCTAATATTGTCCTGTATTTTACCTTTTCACTCACCACTAAATTAGATGTATACTTATCTTTTACTGCTGTGATCATTGGCTTCCAGTTCAATTGCCTTGCACTTTTGTCCTTGGTTTCTGATATTGTTGTTAATCTTTCTGATGTGTCAGGTTTTTAACTACTACTTTATACATAGGTAATGTTCTTTTTCTGGCATTTATTTATCAATATGGTGTCCTTCTTTGCAAAAGAGTTGTAGCCCTTGAGATGCAACCAAAGTACTTTAACTTCAATATCTTAAGTTTATAAACCAATGCATACTCCAGGTTGAGCTTCTTCAACACCAAGATTTTCTTTAAGAAATTTTGCCTAATTGTCTATGAAAAGGCCTAAAGTCACCTGATATCTGCTACATTCAGAGTCTACGTTTCTGGGGCCATTTGAAGGGTTTCAAGAGTCTGAGTTTTATGGTTCTGTTCATGCTTCCACTCCTCCAGATACATTCTCTGTAAAGCTGCTTTAGCTGTTGCATTCCATCTGCTGCTCTCAGCATCACTATTACAATTTTCGCTCCCCAGTGGCACAGCGGTATGTCTGCAGACTTACAACGCTAGAAACTGGGTTTCGATACCCATGGTGGGCAGAGCACAGATAGTCCTTGTGTAGCTTTGTGCATAACTCAAAACAAACAGACAGTTACAATTTTCTTTCACTGGTTGTTTCTAGATGTGTGAAGGAGTCTACCTGATCCAGTTCGTTTTCTTCAACTATGATCTTACTCCACCCACTATCATGGATTTTTTTTTATTTTGTATTCATTAAGGAAGAGCCCATCCTGCTTTCTTACCTGCTTGACCCTGTCCACTGCTTCCTGCATTTGGTCACTTACTTGCTTGAACCTATCAATTACTTCCTGCAGTTGATCGCATACTTGCTTGACGTTGTCCACTACTTGATGTTGGTTGCTTACTTATTTAATCCTTTCCATCAATTCTTGCAATTGATACTCTAATAATGTGATTAATACTGCATCATCTGCATTCTTCAGCTCATTTATGGTTTATTTGCCAGTTCTAGAACCACCTTCAAATGTGTCATTATCCTGTCTCAATATATATTCGGTGTAAATTCTGAAAAACTGAAGAGACTTTGTGAAAGAAGGCACCCATGTCTCACACCCTCTCCAATGCTGAACCATTCTGAGAACTCAGTGTGCTTCATGTTTATTACATAAGTTCATTATTAAAGATATCAATAATGTGACTTTAAAATGTTCTTTAAGCATTGGTAGTGTACCAAGTCAAAAACCATATTGTAACCAATAGAGACTGTAAGACTGTTAATATTCTCAACTCTTCTTCATGAGCACTTTAACATTCTATTTCAATTTGAAGAAATCTTCCTGTTTGGTACCAAGTTTGTACATTCAAAGGACCCAGTTTTATTTTCTCAGCATAAGACTAAGTGCTCCTTATTGGGTATGCAGCTCTCATTAGAGTTTGGATGCCAACTGTCATTAACACCAAAGGGCACAGTGTGCTGGTCCTCATCTCTAATAGTGTGAGGGTCAGACTACAGCCTTGTGTTTTCACTATCGCTCTCACCATCGCTGAAATGTGCTTGGTATTGTCCATTCATAAAGCTTTCATTGAGCAAAAGCTAGTGATAGAGGGGACTCTTAAGGCAGATGAGAATGGTGACCTTCCCCTTGGATGGGCTGACAGTCAATTGCAAGTTAAACCTCCCCTTTTCACTGTTTTCCATTATACAGACAGATAAACTGAAACAGTTGAGGTAAAGCATCTTTCTTAAGGATACAAAAACATGTTGAGAGCAAGCCTTGAGCTTGCAACCTTCCAACTACAAGTCTAAAGCATTAGCCATTGGGCCATGCAACCCCTTTATGTCTGTGTCTTTATTCATGATGTAGTTTTTTTCACTCTTTGCACTGCCTGCCTTATTAGTTTTAAGTTTTTTTTTCTCAATTTTGCATTTTATCTTTTTGCCTTATATTGTATTAGATTTTACTTGTTTTGCTGTAACTAAAATTCAATAACTTTATTAATAACAATACACACTGGCACACCTGTCATATCACTATACTTCTCTAAGTTGTTGACGTAATTCCTCAGTACCTGTGTACTAGTACATCCTTGAACCAGATAGTTTAATTATCTATCTGTAATTATGTTTCATCTAGGGATATAACAACACTGTAATCAATTAGAAAGTTTTTATAATATGTTATCAGCATCAAGTATTTTAACTGAGTGTCTAGTAATAAATATAAGTAAGCTATGGCTGACTTTTTTTCTATGTACATAATTTTTAGAAACCATTTTATTATAACTATGGTGAATACTCCAAATTCTCACTCATAATGAGATTACTGGAACAAACTGTTGTGTGACATGTGGTATTAGTGGCATTTTTTGTTAGCTGCCTGTTAGATTATATTTCTTCTATTACTTCTTCAATTACTAGCTCAAGTTTAAATCATATTGAAGGTTGATACATTTGGTGGAAAACAAAGTATAATTATGAATAGCAGAACCATGGCAACAATTGCCAACATCTCTAATGAATGTTTCATAATTACACATATTCCTTCTTCAGCAAATCTATGACAGTAACAAATTGAACAGTGTAGCACATATTATTGTCCTCCTGTCTCTGAAACGGTTATAGTTACGTGTATCTTAAATAGCTCTAAACTTTAATGTAGTGCTCACTTTTGTCCTTACTCTGTTTTTTGCTGATGAGACCTTTGATGTCCTAGAAATTTAATAACATACAAGACACTTTCTACATCTTCTAATCTTCCACAGAGTGTTGGGATTGCATTTGTCAATCTGTAAGGGCCATGGTTTATACAGAGTAAGCTTCCATACCTGTACTGGTTGGATACAGTCATTATAGGATACATTGTATTCTGCTACAATTTTGATTGCAAATTAAAATATATTCATTCAGTTGCTCAGTGCCTCATCTTCAGTGTTGAAAGAATGCTCCACATTTTTACTGTGGGTTTACTATCCAGTATCAATTTGTTGCCCTTGGTAGCAAATTCCTTTCTTAGATCTTTCAGTAAACATCATGACCCCAGCTTGTTTCTTGGAATCAGACCCAAATGGCAGCTTTCATGGTAATTTTCATTACATTTCTTAGTGATCATTCCCTGTGAGTCATTGTTCCTGTGTACTTAATGATGACTGGCACAAAGCTTTTTTTAGTCTTCTTTACTCTAATTTGTTCATTATAAAAATACAAAGAAGACTGATCACACACTTGTTTGTCAAAAGACTTGATTTGAAAAACAACATCTTATTACCTATGAATACCTTAACGTGTATTTTACCACATAAGCCTAACAAACCAGCTTTCTATTATTGTACATTCGGTATACTCATTCCGCAGAGATGAAACCTATTTAGTTGTTTATTTTCTGTTCTTATTTTGTACATAACCATTCCATACTCACACAGAAAATGTGATTTTTGTTCTTGGTATGGCATGAGTAACATATATATATCCCCCTGGTTACAGATGTTTCATTGTTAGGATCTACACACTAATACATTTAAAACAAACATTTCTTATCATTAGCCTGTGACAGTTGACCCAAAATATGTCACATCATGTGTTACCTATTCCTTGATGCCCTTGTAAGTTGGAGCATGCTTAATACACATTAACAGGCATGCATAACAATAAATCAAGTATCAAATATTGCGAAGTAAACTCAATCTTATTCTTTTTTATTGTGTGGTCCAGAAATGTAATAATCCAGTGATAAGACAAATGTATGTGTTATATATGTAGCTGCTAAAATATAATGTATAAAGTCACACTGAAATAATATACAGAAGTTAGTAATAATCATTATCACACTATTCCTTAATGAAATTTTAAAGTATTCCATGAAAAAGCTACTGCAAAGAAGAAGCAATGTATATAACTTGCATATAGAAAATTAACCTATTAAGATCAGTATTCAAATATGACTAAAATAAAACTTAGAAAGAAAGTCTGTTTCAACACTTGTCTTTGTAATTAATATAAATTACATATTATTATTAGTTTTTGAAAGAATTTTTGATTTAATGGATTATGTATTGACATCTCAAAAGGTTATAGGAAATGTTATCTGATATAAAAGAAACATGCTGAAATATTGTGGATCATGTTGTTTTATGTTACAGTTTCAATTAAATGCCATGGATGATAAATATGTATGTGTGAATGTTGAAAAGAGTCTGCATGTTACTTTTTACAATAAACATAATGTTACATAAATGGAAGTTTCGGATTTTGTTGGAGAATATCAGTGTGCATTTCAAGGTAAAATTAGCACAAAACTGTTATTTTTAATAATCAGCGTTACATCAATTTTAGAGTATGAAGCATTAAAATTGGAGTATGGATATATTTCCCAATTTGTGTTTTGATTGTAAACAAGGAAGATCATGTTTCAGAGATTGATCATTATGATAGTAAAAATAATGCTTTGTAAATTATTTTTGGTAAAAAGAAATCTTTAATATTTTATTCAGGTCTCATTGTGGGGTAATAAATGTGACCTGTCCATCAGTGCAGGTCAAAATGTTGCACAAAAAGAATCTCCAGTTGAACAGATTCACAAATTGCAAGACCAGATTCTAGTCAATGATACCAGAAAACTTTTGGAAATCTTGCATCAGGCTAACCATGACAATCCAAACAAGGTAACTCTTTCTCTGGTTCTTGATAATGCTGGTTTTGAACTTTTTACTGACCTGTGCCTTGTAGAGATCCTTCAGCAACTTGAATTGGTGACCTTTGTCAACTTCTATGTTAAAGATATGCCATGGTATGTCTCTGATGCTACTGAACAAGATTTTTTGTGGATTTTAGAAGTACTTGGCAAATCTGAGCACCAAAGTTTTCAAGAACTTTCAAAAATTTGGATAGAAAAACTCCAGCAGAAATTATGGACTATAGAAAAAGAGAAGTACTGGACTTTACCATTTGATTATAGTGTAATGGAAGAAATGGATCCTGCACTTTATGCTAAATTAAGTGCAAGCCAAGTTATCATCTTCAAGGGAGATCTGAACTACAGAAAATTGACAGGTGATAGGCAGTGGGATTTTGAAACTCCGTTTCAAACCTCATTACAAGGTTTCTTGCCAGCACCGATATGTGCACTAAGAACTTTAAAAGCAGATACAGTTACTGGACTTTCACCAGGACAAGGTGAAAGTATTGCTAAATCTTTTCCTGATTGGATGATTTCTGGTGATTTTGGTCTTATACAAATAGCTACACCTTAATTATGTTATTTTGAATCCAATGTTCACTTCTTCCATTTCAGCAGCTTTACATTTAGACCTATAGATTTTTTAAAATCCACTAAGGGCACATCACCCACCTCTTTGGTTTTTTAAAAAATAGTCAATTTTAACCCGTTTCAGCTCTTATAAAATGAGATGGGTAAGTCAAACCTCTCTTTTTGTGATTTTCCAGTTCTTGTGGTAATAATAACAGCATCTGTTATATGATAGGCCATGAGCAGTAGGACTTGTAGACTGTAGTTGAATATTATTTATTGGGTTTAATAATAGTTTTTAATAGGCCTTTCAGTTATGCTACAGAATTTGCAAGATATAGAAAATTAATGCTTTTCAAGTGTTCCAAGTTCAAATAAAATTAAAACTCCATTTCTTCTTGAGGTTGAACTCGTTCTGTTTTCTTTTAGACAAAGATAACTCAGCATACAGTGCTATAGAAGTGATTCTCTTAAGTTGTAATCACAAAACAATCTCTAAAGCATGATTGATAGCAGTATCAAATAGTTGCTTACTTGAAATTTATACATTACAGATTATTCAGGTATTCCTTATTAAATTGAGGTCCATGCTGTTCTAAAATAAGGAAAACAACTGCAGATACATGTCCTGATTATCTTACACCTAATGTCCTGATTATCTTACACCTAATGTCCTGATTATCTTACACCTAATGTCCTGATTATCTTACACCTAATGTCCTGATTATCTTACACCTAATGTCCTGATTATCTTACACCTAATGTCCTGATTATCTTACACCTAATGTCTTGATTATCTTATGCCTAATGTCCTGATTATCTTATGCCTAATGTCCTGATTATCTTACGCCTAATGTCCTGATTATCTTATGCCTAATGTCCTGATTATCTTATGCCTAATGTCCTGATTATCTTATGCCTAATGTCCTGATTATCTTATGCCTAATGTCCTGATTATCTTATGCCTAATGTCCTGATTATCTTATGCCTAATGTCCTGATTATCTTACGCCTAATGTCCTGATTATCTTACACCTAATGTCCTGATTATCTTACACCTAATGTCCTGATTATCTTACACCTAATGTCCTGATTATCTTACACCTAATGCCTGAACAAGAGAACAAATTAAACGAGGTAGATTCATAACTTTGTTGAAGTACTCTAGATCAGGTATTTGATTCTCAAGTTATTTAAATGTATTACTATTTGATGAAGCTGTCAAGAATTACATTTATGTGTATGTGATTTGTAGTTTATATTACTTACGACTTTGGGTTTTTTAATTGCAGTAGTTTCTTTTAATCTGTTGTCTTGTTTGCTGTTGGAGCTATACATGATGGTATAAAGTTGTTTTTATCGGTTGTTTCCTGATATTCTTGATCTACAAAACTTTGTAAAACTGCCATTGAAAAACTTTACCATCATATTTAGTTCCAACAGCAAATAAGATGTTAGAATAAAAGAAATTCTGGAGATTAAAAACTCAAACATACACTACAATTTATAATTCAATGACAAAAGTGAGTAAATTGTAAAGATGATGAGACTATAAAAGACATAATGTAAAATATATAGAAATTGTTGAAAATTACATTTCTAACAATGTGTGTTATGTTATTGATAAAAATAATGTACACAATGTTTATTAGAGACAGAGTATTCCAGTAAAACGGAACACATCATTAGATGGACATATGTAACTCCTTAATCTGACTATAAAGACTTTAAAAACCATTATTACTGCAAAAAAAGCTTATTTATTATTTTGTGTTACCTTATAAAAACAGTTTGTTTGATGAAATAAGATACAAGTCAACCTGTAATATGCACAACATAGTGTTAACAACAGGAATCATCATATAGATACATATAACTAGTGAATCTAACACCTAATACCTTTTGTCCAAATTCTTTTACAAAGTAACATGTTCATTCATTTATTAATCATTATAAAAAAAATATTTCCCTATTAAAAGTTACATACACAACCATCAACAAAGACAAAACAGAAGTATTAAAACGAAAGAATGACAGTAAATATTTAATCACACTATACTTGTGTTTAATGAAATAATTAAAGGGTCATCAAATGTATTATAATTAGAAAAAAACAAAATAATCTATTATGATACTCTATCTTATGCAAATTACTTACCTGGTCCAAATTATCTACATTATATAGAACATGATGCTATCAATTGAGATGACGCATCCATATCTAGGTATTTGTAATATTTTCTCCTTCTCTTAAAAAGCATCAATCTCAAGACAACTATTTTCAACCATGTATTTAATGAAATAGACTTGATAAGTGAATTATAGTTTGAGAAAACAAATTGTTTATACTGCACTGTATTATAACATCTACATTGTGCTCAGAGGATATTGCTGAAATGAGAGGAGCATACATATTTAGGTATCAATAATTTGATCTGTTTTAACTAAATATATCTTTTAAAAGTTAGTGTAATTGTTGAAAACTAGTGAAATATTGGAAAAGCAACAGGCCTAAAAATTTCTTATAAAAAGTTTACTGTAGGTGATATTTTTTCTCTTTCTTTTAATTTGTGCATTGTGACTATTTTTTTACACACTCCTGATTTTGAGATACAATGGACATATACAGTTAACTTTATTTTTAACATATCCTAAGTTATATCACCAATGTTTTTTTATAGTGTTTTATGGAAGAATAAACATGTTAATTTGTAATTCAAACAGACTTAGCTTTGTGAAATTGATTTTTATTATATAAAATCTCATTTCCTTGCTGAACTCTATCTCACTAAGCATATTGTTGAAATGATTGGATGCATATATATATAAGAATTAGTATCTATTGAAAGAAACATTAAGGACTTTTCAAACTACTGCTATTACAAATATTATTGTTTATTCATCTACTATACTTTAAAAGAAATTCAGTTTACTTGATCAATTAGTGTATATAATCTTCAGTTGTAAACAGAACATAGGATCATGCTCCTTAGATATTCTAATTTCTGTCAAAGAAATGGAAGTTTCTCTCGTGGGTTTTATCTCAAACCAACACACAATAGTACATCTGTCAATTACATTTCTGCACATTCCACTGCTTTAAAAGAATCTGTTATTTATTCCCAATTTACAGTTCTTAATATCTTTCTTTGGGGCAGTCAACAAGTTTATAAAATGCTGATAAAGTCAAAGCCTTGCTTAATTTTAATAAAAGAAGGTTGTATACATTATATTGAGCACTTTTTAATATACAAATCAGCAAGTCATGTGACAACTACAACCAGTAAAGTTGTGGTAGAACAGAATATATGAGAACTACATTTTACCATTGTTTACTGTTTCAGAGAAAGTGCAATACTACTGAAAATTGATTTCTTTTGAGAAGGGAATATAACACTTTTTTTTCTAAAACAAAGTATTCACACACTTAGATCATAAAGATCTGATCAAATTGGGGATTTTAAATTTAAAGATGAGTTATCCTTCATGCTTAATGGATTCAGACAAGAAGAGAATATGGATCAACTTGGAGTACCAAGATCATTCAAAAAAAGAGAGACTGCAATAGGTCATAATCGTAAAGTATGATGTTTTGTAACAGGCGAGATTCCACAAACATAAATCCAGTGGCAAAAGCTTTCCACATATCCCAGGACACAAGATGTAATGTAATCAAGAAAATCTCCATATGGAAAAGTAATGAAAATTGTGTATACTCAAGTTGTTTCCACAACATATTCAGGAAAGTAAGGTCAATTGTATAAAACTATATGAATGGTACCTAGCCAGGAAAAAATTGCAGTGTGTGGTGACACTCCGTGAAATGTACTTGTACCTTGATAACTGTAACTAGTCTTATGCAACTTTCTACTAGTCAGTGGTACATGTTGCAATTTTTTTTCAAATGGATTTGTGATTATTGCTAGATACTGAGCCAAGGGCAAGTTAGGGATCAGAAGAATGGATTACAAAGATCAAGGTGAACTGTGCTTGCTATCACACCAATGATTTAGTCTCTCTGCACCACACTGAAATACTGGCTCTCCTTGGAAATGAGACCAACAGGATATGAATTCACCAAGATAGGCTTCTAGTCATACCCCACATTCAACCATCACATACTTTAAGAAGCAGCAGGACAATGAAATAGGTATTCTACTATTCCATACAAAGACATACTAGTCAAGTTGAAGGATGTAATGTCTATTGTGTTCTATGTGATCAAACTGTTGAAATGGGCACTGGAACACCATCATCTTCATATGTTAGATGGATTATGAAGTAAGGAGGATTGGTGTGCTTTGAACATGGCAGCCTTATGATGGAGCCTTTTGCAATTGAAGCTACACAGTAGGGCTATTGTCAAAATGCAAAATCATAAGGTAAAGATATGTATTGTAATAATGTGGTGATACTTCAAAATTGTTTTAATATAAAAAATTCAAACCTCTTTTTTTTCCCAGAAAGTATAAAAACAATGAAAAAGGTATAAAGAAATTCTAGGAAACCAAGAAATGCCAAAGATGTGACACCTATTTTTTTAGTGAGACAGCTGAAAGATTCATAAAATGATTAGATAGAATAACATCAATTCAAAGATAATTGAGAAACCCAGTAATAGGTTGAAAGACTTGATAGTAAACTCATTACTTAGAGCTTTGTCCTGGATGTAATCAATACTGTAAAGACTGTCACTGTAAAAAAAAAAGAATATCTATATTATATATATATGTATAACTTACCAACTCCAGTTCATGATTTGTCATCAGTTTTACAGTGGAGAAACATCCCATCCTGTACAAGAAAGAGTTCTTGAGAATTAAAAAATATCTCCATACAAAATTTTAATAAACTTTGGTGCACATTCTGTAACCTTTCATAAAAAGGAACCAGTCCCCAAATTTCCAGTAGGTTTTTCCACACAAGTGATCAAAGAGTACATCATGACTTTTAACATGGTTACATTCAAAATTTAACTATACAACTTATCAATGTATTCAGTATTTAAATTTTTATATTATCTAAGTTTTTACTTGTTAATTTCAAAAAGAAAAATTTAAAAGCTTAATTTTCTTCAGAATTTTCTTGATTCTCAAATAACTTACTGCAAGTCCCAATGAATTAAAAACTATATGAACTAAAAAGATGAATCAAAAATTTTGAATCTTCTACCTTTATTTGCTGAGGTATCAATAACTTTATGTCACCCCCACCCCTTCTCAGAGAAAACAGTTTCTTCTCTCTCTCTGACTTTCAAATTTACATGGCTGATATAAAGAATAGAAAGAGAAGGTATTTCCTTTATATTAATCTTACAACCATCCTTTTAAATTTGATGAATAGATTACTTCCTTGAAAGAAATGTCATGCGATCATGGTTTTTGCTGCTCGGAAAGGAGAATAGAATTTTTTTAACCTATTTATAGTTTACTTAGAAAGCCAGAAATTATGGTCGTTTTAAGACATTCTAGTACCTGATATATTTTTTGTATCTTTAAATGTAACTTATTGGGAAGTTTAGGCTCCCACTGTAATTTATTACATTTTATGTAAGGATTTCTGTTTCAGTGGTATAAAGTAAAGCAATCAATCTATAAACTTAAAAGAACACAGATGTAAGAAAAGTTAACAGTTGAAAGTCTTAAGATAAGTAACTTGAAACTTTCTGATCAATTTGCAGTTAGTTCAAAAGAAAAAATTATATTAATTTTACTTCATATTTTTAAACTTTTCATTTCACTTTATATAGATGTTTCTACTGTTAGTGTTATTCATGTACTACGTTCTACTTTATCAAAAAATCCCATTTTTGTTTACAACAGACTTGAAGTGTTTAGTTAAAGCTTACCAAATTTCATGAATATGCACATGGTATATTCAAAAGTTATAGTATGTATAGTTTCACAGTTTCAAGGTTGATTAAATTGACCAATTTCATTCTTAAATGGTTGATGGTAGAGTTTTTTTACATAGCAAGGAATGCCACTGATAAAATTATATCAGATGTTTTTGTTTTTATTTTCATTCACAAACCATTTATGAATGCATACCAGATACAATGGCCAAATAACCAACATAATCAGGTTTTAAATGTTTGGAACAAGCAGCAGTTTATTAGCTGAACTGAATTGGTTAATCTTCAGCTTCATGTTATATATATATAATTTATCTTTTATATGAAGGCTTTATTCGTTAGTGGCCCTTGTTAAGATCTTGAAATAATTTGAACAGTGAATGACTACATTAAATTCACCTAGAACATGCTCCAATACACTTGATTTGTTCTTAATTCTTAAATTTGCATGTTCTTTCACTGTCTTCAGAGCTCTCTTGTAGTACAACTGATAACAATTTTGAAGAATATGGACAATCCTCTAACCATTGTTCTTCATGAAGATAAAGAAAAAAAAGAATAACTCGAGAAGGAGTTAATTTTGAGCCCATAGCCACACCTCTAGTATGCAAACACTACTTTTTGTCCTCTTGTAGTGGTCTCCCGTTGGGACATCGGTAAGTTTACGGACTTGCAACTTTAAAATCTGGGATTCCATTCCCTGCGATGGACGCAGCAGATAGCCCAAAGTGGCTTTGCTCTAAAGCAAACAAAGAGGAAATAATGGCTGGAGACGGCTTGAATGGGTAATGAAGAAAAACTTTAATATAACAGCAAATGTACAACGTTTCGACAAGGTTTTGAAATATTTTTGACAATTTAGGCACCAATACTGTGGCTGCCGTTT